GAGAGAGAGAGAGAGAGAGAGAGAGAGAGAGAGAGAGAGGCACCAGAGGCACCATCACCATCCCTCCTCCCTCGGCCCGTCCTCCATTCCTGCCTTGACCCTCTCTCCTCCCTCCCTCGGCTCCATCGGCCCTCCCTCCTTCCTCCCTTTCTCCTTCCTTATTTCCTCCCTCGCCTTCTCCCTCCTCCCTCCGGTGGTGTTACCTACCTTGGACCTCTGTCCTCCCTCGCTTCGTGCTGAGAGAGAGAGTTGACTCAGTGTGGTGTGTGTAGGGATTGGGGACGAAGAGTGAAATATGGAAAGAAATATTGATAGCCTGAAATACCTGGCGCAGGGCAATTAATCATGAGGCCGCTCCAAAAAGAAAAGACCGAGGGAGAATGTTGAGGAGGAAGATCTTAAGGAGGCAGAAGTTGTGGTGGTGGAAGAGACAGACAAGGACAAAGAAGGTGCGAGGAAGGAAATGTGTTGGGTGAAATGCGTTTTTCTCCCTCCTGCTTTCCCTCTCTCCTTCTTGCGCGTGTGCAACAGTGTTGAGATCTTAAGAGAAATGGAGCGATCTTGATAACAAACGGCGCGTTTACGTCGAAGGATAAAGGAAACGAAGTATTTCTTACGTCGGGCGTTACGAAGGAAGGGCGGCTGGTCGAGGGAGGAAGGGGGAGGTAGGGAGTAGGACGGAGGGAGGAATGGAAGTAGGAGGTCAGGTGGTGATCTGGCTGAGGAAGGAAGGGGAGGGAGGAGATCGAGGGAAGGAGGAGGTCAAACAGAGATCAAGCGAACGAAGGGGCGAGCGAAGGGGAATGAGGCAGCCAGGCGGACAGAGGCCAGGGGGAGGTTGAAGAGAAGGTGCGGAGGCGGCCTATAGGGAGGGGAAAGGCGGCAGAGAGTAGGGCGGAAGCAGGAGGTCAGGTGGAGACCGGGCCAAGGAAGGAAGGGGAGGAAGGAGATTGGGGGAAGGAGGAGGTCAGTGCAAATCGGGCGAAGGAAGGAGTAGGACGGAGGAGATAGAGGGGAGGTCAGGCGGAGATTGGGCGAAGGAAAGGGAGTCAGGTGGCCAGGCGAGGGAGGGCAGAGGGAGGTTTAAGAGAAGGTCCAGAGGAGGCCGGGGGAAAAGGGAGGCGGCAGGGAGAAGTAGGGCGAAGGGAGGACAGAAAGCAGAACGTAGTTCAGAGGTTGAGTGACGTATGGAGGAAGGGAAGAGATAAGGGGGAGACGAGCATGGGAAAAAGCGTGAAGAGGAAGAGGAGGAAGTGGAAGGAGGCCGGGAGGAAGGGGAAAGACGGCAGGGTGAAGTCAGGCGGAGGGAGGGCAGATGGAAGGAGGAGGGAGGGTAGAGGTTGGGTGGGGTACGGAGCAAGGGAAGAGGTCAGGTAAAGGTGG